ACAAAGTCGTGAAAATGGTTGTTGTTTGGTATTTGACAAGTTGGCCTGGTTTTTGCATTTTCCTGGATTCACGCATGTAGAAAAAATTTCTGTGGGTTTGTACACTTTGCTTTTATTGTTTACAAAATAATTATCATGTCGTTTGGTCGTTTACTATTATTTTGGTAGAACTACCCTCACTGTTTTGCTCTGTCAGACGTGTTACAGCTTCTCGCCATCTTCATTGTTGGATAAAAATTGCTTTGCCAAAGTCATTAACTTTGACCAAATTAACTTGAGTTTTAAAATTGTAAGAGATTTGGTCGTTTTGGATCATTTTGGTGAATCTTCGATGTTTTGATCTGTCAGTTAGTTCCGGCTTCTCACCATCATCATGGGGTTGTTTTCTTGTCTCGACTTATTGAAATCTCTGACCAACTAATTATTTTCCAAATGTAATTAATTTGTGATATATCGCACTTCAGTTGAAAAATCGCTATAGGTTTGATGGTTTGGTCTCGCTTTCTTGCTTGATGTCTTTCAGGCGCGTTTCGGCTTCTCATCATCATCAGGGTGGATTGTTTTCTGGCCTCGCCCATCTTATATCGCACTACAACCCACGCTTTTCGGATGACATTAACTTGCAATATATTGCACCTGAGATCTGGTCAGTCATCCTTGCTTATCAGATCCGTCAGTCGCGTTTCCGCGTATTGCCATCGTTATTGATTGATCAGGGGTATAAGCACGGTGTACGGCCACAGATACCCACCACTGAAAATTGAGTTACTGAAACAGGTAGATCAAATAATCGGAAATGATCAAACTCCATGATTCAACAAGTCCAACATCCAGCAGACCACAAGAGAAAGCTTCACAAACTAGACAAGCTTTTTTAGACTTTTTTTCCTTAAGCGTCCCTTGGCCCTTATCGAGTGATCGTAATCTTTATCTGTTAAAATCCGGTCTGATTGTTTGTTGAACATTTGTTCAGCTTGTGGACAAGATGCTGTAAAATTTGTAAATCAGACTAACTAAACGAGAACTGACGGACCAATAGATCTGGGACGATTAAGCGGCAGACAAATTGGTTGTTCGGAATGTGACACTTGACAAATGACTTGTCGTAAACTCTACTCAAAATCTTTGTTATTTTACAACTTGCTTACACCATAAAGTATGAAATCCTCTTTGAGTAGATGAACAATTCGATAAGTTTGATCTGACAGACACAGAGAGAGTAGGCGGACCTAGATGATTGGGTTGAAAGAAGAATTTAAAAAATATCAAATTACAAAAGTGCTTTAAAAACGTAAACAAATAAGAACTAAAAGCTTCATACGTTTTGTGGGTGAATTATTTCTCGGACAAATTTATGTTATCACAAATTTCTTAATGAAAGCATGATATATTCACATATTCTTTATGCTTTTTAAAACTCAAATTACCTCACAGAAATCTACAAAAACTATCTGTGCTGCCAACTATCTAGGACGATAAAAAGATATACTTGCATTCTGTTAAATATGTACGCAAAAAATTAACTGTAAATTGAAATCAACGTGCCTCCGCGTTGTAGGCATCATCGCTTCCTCCAAAGAATACATTTAAAATGATTTGTCAGGATGTAGGGTCGTATTTGAAATTTCGAAGTTGAACTGGGCCTGAGGTACCCTGTATAATTTGCGCAAAAAAGGTAATTTGAAACTAGACTAAAAAATATTAAACATGCATTGTTTTCATTTTTTTGATAGCGTCATTGGTGCAAGAGAAACCGGGCCATCTAAAAAGTACACCCTGTATACAGCTGATATCCCTTCCCATCCCAATACCACAGTCCTAACATTCACTGATGGCACTGCAATTCTATCCTATAACTTCTACTCATCATAGCTCACCGAACCCACCAGACACATGGTTCAAGAATGGTGGATCAAAACATCACAACGGCCCAAAACGTTCACCCTTCAATCATACACAACTCAATACAGAAATCAATATAGACAAACACCCTAGAACTATGGGGTTCAACCAAACTCTCCAATAACCTTGGAACCGAAAACGTCAACCGCTAACTAGGGCTGTATCTAGACAAACGAATCACCTGAAATCCCATACACGACTTAAAAGAGCAGAACTGAACCGACGATATCGATAACTTAAAAGACTACTAGAGAACAAATTTAAACTCTCCTTTCACAACACAATACTCATAAACAACTCAACACTGAAACCAATGTATACATACAGCATAGAACTATGGAGTTCAACCAAATTTTCTAAAAACCTCCCACCCCCTTCCCACCGAAAACGTCAACCGCCACCTAGGGCTGTATTTAGAAAAACGAATCACCTGGAATCCCACACACGGCTCAAAAGAACAGAACTGAATCGACAATATCGATAACTTAAAAGACTAGTAGAAAACAAATTTAAACTCTCCTTTCACAACACAATACTCATCAACACTCAATACTGAAACCAATATATAAAGACATATGGCTTAGAATTATGGGGTTCAACCAAACCATCCAATCTTCGCAGAACCAGACCTTACAGTCACGAATCCTTAAATCCATCGACAACGCCCCGTTCTATTTTTCTTACCATAATGACCTAAATGTTTACTTTTCAAATGAGTGGTAAAATCCAGCTACAAAAAAATTCCACATAACCTCCGATCCCATACTATTTCCCTCGTACAACTACCCCTTTCGATCTCTAACTAGCAATGCTCCTTAATGGCTAAAAAGGCCCTTTGTGCTCAGAGATTGCGAGTGATTATTGCTGAATGATGATTAGGGATAATGATGATGTCTAATTCTGGAGTGCCATCGCTGGATAGCTTTTCCACCCTATGTCTTTTCGTTTTTGTTTTCTTTTAATTTGAATTATCTAATGATATATGTAACTTATTGCCATTATATTACTCAATCAAATAAAAAAAGCAATAACAAAAATATTTTTAAAAAATAAATTGACACTGTTTTAAGAGAATCAGCGTTCTTGGTAATCGTGACATTTTTATTATTTACTATAGGTGATACTTTACAAAACATTTCTAGCCTCTCGTTATCATGTACCCAATTTATTATTATTGATATTATTTTATTTGGCTTTATTAAAATTTGTTGGAACGTTTCTTAGAATATTTTTAAGTCATATCGCCCCTACGTTTTCAGTTTGAACTGGTGAAAAGTTTTCTCCCGTTTGAAGACTTTGAAGAAACAATTTTAAATCCCGTGCCTTTTAATTTGGCTCATTTTCCATTCGAGGATGGACAAGTTTCCACAAACGCTCGCGAGTTCTCGTGTCAGGACCTGCCCTAAGTTGTTTCGTTGCCTTCCGTTTTTATATTATCTCGTTCCCGATCAGGAAACTGCCAGGTGTCAGTTTGAGAGATTGCTCGCAAAAAAGGACTGTTTTAGCACATTTAAGCAACGCGACATGTTTGCTTTATAAAACAGCTTTCGTGTTTGAAATGAAAATATCATTTTTTGTCAAACTATATGCTGAATGTACAGTTTTTTTTTGGCAATTTTATTTATTTGTAGAATTTAGCTAATGTTCCCTTCCTTTCTAACCACATTTGTCGTTTATTCGTGAGGTGGTAACAATTTTCTGTAATTAGATCGTCACTAATTTCACTCTTCACTACATAAATAAAACTAAAATTTGAAATAACAAGAATAACACAACTAGAACAATGCTGGAAGGATCTGTTCATTTAACAGTAAAAAAATTGTGTTTGTGTATTTGTAAACAAATGAAGAAACAATTAATTTTCTTATTCTAATACCTTCCAAGGCAATGTGGGCTTCCTCTTTGCTTCCTCATGCACTATTATTCCAATTTGTTCCTTTAGCCATTTAACTATAATTCTTCAGTGCTTTATTTGCCTAAGTTGGTACAGCATTAAGCCTTATTTCAGCTGTGACTTCATAACGGACTTTGCTGTTTGTCCGGGTTGACAAAGATCCATACAAAGTTGTTCTGTTTTATACATAGCAGAAGGTGCTTGTGAATCATATGGCAGTATTTGTATGATAGATTATTGGAGCAGTGGGGGTTGAGAAAGAAGATAAAAGAGTCATCTATCGATGACCAACATTAGGCAGCTTTGACTGCATGTTATGATCCCAGTGGGTGGCTTTATGCACCTAGTTAGTCAATAAGCCAGGGGCACCTCCTTTGGGATAAGTGTGGAAAGGTCAAAACAGCTGGAATGAAGAAATAATTTGGCAAGAAATGTGAGGTGTCTGAATTTGGCTAGGTCAATATCATAATTAATTCAAGCTCTGAAAGTAGGATTACCAAGAATCATCGGTGAAGGTCATTCAATTCCAGGAACTACAAAAGCTGTTTACAGTAAGCCTTTTTGTTGTAAATAATTATTAAGTATTTTAGTTGTCTTGGACCTGTAGTTCACTTCTGCCATTTTAAGTCACATATGTAGATTTCATGTTTTGTCTATTTACAGTTTGAGAATAAAGGACACATATTGGGATTTTTTGTTTAATTCTTCATTTGTTTCTGAGGTAAGGAGATAGTCTTGGAAGTATCAAACTCCAATGATAGAAGGTTTGCAGAGAGACTGTTGTATCATCAGCAAAGTAAGGGTGGGATTATTAACAGAAGTCTGCTGTGAACTACAGTATAAAGTACATATTTTATTACTTGTTTGTCCCAATTGTCTCAAAACATTTTCAACTGCAGAGAAACACTGCTCTGCAATTCGTTAGAAAATTTGGGCAGTTTCTTCTTTGTATTGTAATTAAGAACTATGTACCTTCTTCATTGCATTATTGTGTCTGTTGTGACTTGACAACGCTTTATAATTTTAAAAAAGTTCCATTCATGATTGGGTGATACTTGTTCTCTCAAGTCTTTCATTCTGAGACCCAATGAAGAGAGATTTGTTTTTATAAATTATTTATTTCTAATTTTAGTGTCAAAATTCTTACAGACATTTTTATCACATCTTTTTATCGGGAATTTCATAAAAATATATATGTTTACAGAGTCCAAACCGAACTCGTCACCCAAAGAGGCTCATGACTCGAAAGACACTCCCCTCAACTCTGAGTATGAAATTATTTTCACACAGTAAGTATATTTGAAATAACTTAAAATAAAATAACAAAATAACTCATTTTTTCTTTCTTTTTTTGTCCCAAGTTGTTCAGGGTTTGGAAGATCTATCCAAAACCAGATGGGATTAAAGGACTCCCAAATAATATTTGCAATTGGTGCTGTAATAATTGGTCTTTTAATATGGGGTATACTGTATGGCGTGGTCCTTGATGAGGTAGCCCCAGGAGGAGATCTCTTTCAGATTTTAGTTCTTGTAGTTAGTGCCTATTTAGCTGGAAAGGTGAGGTATATTACTTCTTTTTTTTTATTTTTATTATTTAACTTTTTCTTTGAATCATAGGTAGTAGGAATGTGCCATTTACCCCCTCTACTAGGTATGCTTACAACAGGCATCGCGATGCGTTCTGTTGGTTTCTTTGAAATCTCAGGGGTTTATCCTGATCTTGTCACTAAATTGAGGTAAGGAAAAGCACAATTTTACAACTGTAAAAAAAAGTACCTGTAAAATTGTTTCAGAGAGACAGCTTTGACAGTAATATTAATCAAAGCTGGGCTCGGCCTTGATGCCGTAGCATTAATGAAACTAAGCCTTGTTGTATTACGCTTGGCCATCCTACCCTGTATAGCAGAAGCTGTGGCGGCAGCTGTATTTTCATATTTTATTTTAGACTATCCTATTCTATGGGGGCTTCTTTTAGGGTAAGTGATTTTATTTTTATATTTTTTTGGTTTAAAAAAAAAAGAAGCAATAGAGTAAGAATACTTGACTTTTCTTCAGTTCAGAGTGTTTAGCATTACATAAAGAATCATGTTTTGATTTAATTAATACCCAAAACATATTTGTCAGGTTTATGTTGAGTGCAGTCTCCCCTGCAGTGGTCGTACCGACTTTACTGAGTCTGAAAGAAAAAGGCTATGGAGAAAATAAGGGAATTTCAACGCTTGTTATTGCTGCATCTAGTTTAGATGACATTGTTGCTATTTCAGTGTTTGGTGTATTCCTTAGCATAATATTTTCTCCAGGTGAGTGATTGACATTCACTTTTTAATTAATTCAGACAACATGACTAATGTTTTTATTTTTCTCATTCTAGCGGGACATCAAGATGGTATGTGTTGTACTTTTTTTATTTTTGTTAACATTTTAAGTTGTTAAATAATTCTTATTTGTAAATAATAGGGAAAATGCTTGAACAGTTATCTCAGGGACCAATCGAGATGTTACTGGGTTTAGTACTCGGCATCTTCTGGGGTCTAGTTGCTGCTTTCATTCCACACAAAGACGATGTATTTAGTTAAAATATTGGAAAACTTTATATTTGTATTTTAATATTTTTGCAATTTTGCAGAAACAAGTCGTAACAAAACGGGTGTTGATGATCGGCTGTGGAGGACTGTGTGCAGTACTTGGAGGAGAGGTAATTCACTACAGTGGCGCTGGTCCGTTAGCCTGTATTGTTTCAGCTTTCACCGCAAGCCTTGCATGGAAGATACAAGGCTGGAGTACTCATGTAAGTAAAATCATTTTCCAAAACAGATTGACTGTTTTGACTACTGTTAAATATACATTCCAGCATCCCGTTGTTGAAGCGTTTGGAACCATTTGGACAATAATTCAACCAATGCTGTTCGGACTGATTGGTGCTGAAGTTGATGTCAAATTACTGCACGCAGATACTATACTGAAAGGAATCGCTGTCATATGCGGCGCTCTTGTCATAAGAGTTATTTGCTGTTGTGTCGTACTTCTTGGTAGCAAACTGAACTGGAAAGAAATCATATTTGTAAACCTTGCTTGGCTTCCAAAAGCCACTGTCCAGGTACTTGAGAAGTTCAACAAAATTGTTTAAACTTGGTTCAGTTTCATTACATTCAACTCTACATTTCAGGCTGCACTTGGGCCAGATGCCCTTGAACTTGCAACCCGTGCCGAAGAAAAAGATGAACAAGACATACTGAGAGGTCACCAACTTCTTACTCTAGCAGTACTTTCTATTTTAATGACAGCTCCAGTAGGCGCCATAGGGATTTCAACGACAGGTCCTTACTTACTTTCAAACGTTTCAGTTGAACCTGAAGCTGGTAAGTTTCGTTAATATATTTTGTTTTATTAATTAATATTAAAATATTGTTCATATATTAACATATTATTCTTGTCATTGAAAAATCAATTACTTGGCTATCAGTGAAGATCATAATGCCATGAGAGAGCGAGAGAGAGAGAGAGAGAGAGAGAAAGAGAGAAAGACAAAGAGAGTGAGGGAGAGAGAGAGAGCAAGAAAAAAGAGAGAGATAGAGAGAGAGAGAGAAAGCGAGACAGAGAAACATAGAGAGAGAGAAAGGAGAGAAAAAGAGAGAGAGATATGCATGATTAGTCAAACTTTTTAATATTTCCATATGTGAGTCTATGTGCAATATAATAGCCTTATTTTTAATAAACTTGTGTTAATTTTATATTATTTGATTTGGATTAATATTGAGGATTTCCAATGTTTCCCATTTTTTTAAATTAATAATTAACGATTTGCCATGCAATTAATTTTTGGTATAAACTAAACTGATATTATCCCGTTCATAACCTAATTACATCCACATTTGAGGGATTAGAATGTTTGAAAAAATGTATATTAGATTAACCTAATTTTTACCAAACAGATACTATTGCTTCAACATAATGATACTAACCACGCCCCTCCTTTTCTATAGAGGAAAATATTGAAAGTGCGGACACCGCAATGCACATGAGCGAAGGTACGCAGCTAAAGAGCGAAACGAAAGAAGATGCCGCATCTAAAGTATGAATGTAAAACACAAGGTTCGCCTGGGAGTGAAAAAATGCCTTTTAACAGACTTTTAAGAGAGTAATCGTGAGAGCGTATTGCCAAGGTAGAACAGTTGGAACGTCTTGCATTTCAAAACTCCCCCATCCCATGTGATCATTTGATAGTTGTAGTAAAGAAGCTTTGTGCGATGAAGACTTGCCTTTCACGGTGTTTAATGGACGAAAACAAAAATATACTACTAAATGGCAATAGTAGTCTTAGGCTGTTTGAATAAATTTATTATTATTATTTTAATGAACATAAAAATAGAAAGCAATGAATATTAGAGTTATATATATATTATTGAACCTTTGGTTGTAAATGGAAACCTAAAACTAATTTTGTGATTAAAATGTTTATTAAAAAAAATATTGCACATGCAATTATATAAATTGACAAAAAAAGTTCAATAAGAGTATTTCCCCTTGTAGATCGCTCAAAGAAAAATATATATATTTAAATTAGAGATAATACTTTTAAATTTATTTTTGTTTTTAACGTTTGCAAGTATTCTTTGTTGGCAATGATATTATTTTTTTAAACATAATATTTTAAAACTGTGTTAAATATTTATCTTCATAAATTTAATAATTGTTTTTAATTTTTAAAATTGAAATTAAATGTATTATAACTGTTGACGAGTAAAAATTTTACAGTATATTATTGAAACAGTATAGATTTTTAAAATATAACAGAACTTTGTTTTTATTGTAAATGATAAAGATTATAAATATTTATTTGTAATTTTTTTAATCTTATTTGATTTTTTATTGAAATGTTATATATATTGACTTTGTTATTTTTATCAAATAATTTAACCTAAGATGTTATATAGTATCAATTTAATATTTCTGAGCTTTGTTTGTGAACTGTGATATAATACTTAACATTAGAGGGTGATTCTGGTAAAATTAAAAAAAAAAAATTAATAAGTTGTATAAAGTGTAAAAAAATTTCGATATTTATGTTTTTGCCCATATCCAGAAAATTTAAACTGCGTTTATATAGAAACAACATAAATAATGACTCTTTTGACACAGAACCACCCGCTCTTGTTAGTGCGGGCAATTGGGTCACAAATAAGATCAAGAAAGTGATTAAATATTGTAAAAAAAATCTAATAGCCATATTTTCGTTTACTTAATTTTAATGACAATAACTTTGATCACTATATTAATTTCTCTTAATGTGCTAAGATAATATGTTTAATCATCAACAATTTTACTTTTAAGAAAGGGTGTTGGATTTTTTTTTTTTTTTTAAGTTGTGAGATATCTTGTTGTACATATATTTAATTTTAAAAAGAAGGTAGAACATTTTAAGAATTAAGATAAATAAAACCAGGGAATGGTTCAAGTTTAGAGTTTAGATTAGACATCATTCTCACTTTTTAGTTTTCTAATTATAATTATTTTTCTTGCTTAACAAACTAAACTTTCAATGTAGTCAGTTTGTTAAGCAGAATCACATTGTATCCATTTAGTGTATTCTTTACAATTCAAACTAAATTGCACTATTACTTCCTTTCACATTTAAAAGCGACAAAAGAGGGTAGAAATGAATTTTTATCTTCATTACTATCAGAGCAATAAGCTGTCTTTAATTGCAAAATTTGTTCTTAAAACAAGTAGAATCGTGTTACATTCAAATTTATAATTATTATACTTCATTCAAATTATCTAAAGTATTAAAAAATATAAGTAGATGATTTTTTTTCACTAATCACAATTTTATACTTGTATAAAGTACAAATCAAAATCCTATAAATTCTCAAAAGACACCTTTCACATTGTTTAAAATAAAAATGAAAACTTTCAAGGAAAATAATCTCTTGGTCCATTTTGCATTTATAATAATTAAGAACTAAAGGTTTAGACATGAAAAACTTCAATTATTTCAAAACAAACCCTCAGATTTTTTTTAAAATTAGTTTAATATAGATTTAAATTAATTTATACAATAGTCTCTTCAAAGAAAACTGTTAGGGGTGTGAGAAATTAATATAAAATATAAAATCGTAGAGGTAGAACCAAACATATCGGATTGGTTGTTGTAGTTACAGTTGATGAATTAGTGAAGATACATTTAATTTTGAGATTTGATGTCATTTAAACAAAACAAAAAATATTTTTAGTGATAAAATAAATTCCTTTTGATGTTATAAATGATATTTTAATATTTGTAAATAATTTCTTGGTTGTTTGTATTCTCTGTTGTTTTTGTGTTTTGTTTCTACCAAAGGAGAAATATTGTTCGTTGTATAATTTTATTGAGTGAAATTATGTTGCATTTCTGTTTAAAAAAAAAAAAAAAAAGATATGAATATATATTGACGTTAAAAGTTGGGTCACTTGTATTGTATGAAATGTGCCAAAATGTTTTTAAAAAAATTAATAGGTTTTATGTCTTTTAAAATTACATAAAGGAAAAGGGGTAATCGCAAAGAAGTGTAATTTCTAAGTTTAATTATTACTTCAACAAATGAAATATAAATACAAAAACATTTTCTAATCTTAACTACAATTATAATAACATCAGTATAATTTGACATAAATAATTTGTATTAGCTATAAACATTTAATAATTCCATAAACTGGAATAAAGTAATAATTGATCTTAGTAACTATGAATGGAATGGATGACACAAATCAAAATGGAATGTATAATTCTATTTTTGGTTTCCATTAAATTTCCTAATTGTTAATAATTAATAGTGTTGTAGAGTACTTTAACTGTATTAGTCAATATTATAATCTAAGGTAGTGTTACAATATTTATTTTATTCATAATTCATAAAAAAAAAAAGAAACCAGATATTTTCCTTCAGACCGTTTCTCATTATTCCTCCGTCCAAATGCCCTATTTTCTCGTGGTGTAAAAAAAATCCTCCTCACTAATGTAAGTGATTAGCCTTTAAATCTAGATTATTTAAATTGAATAATACAGTAGGTACACTATGAGCTCATTTAGGAGGCTTTCAAAAATGAATTTAAAATATTCTCAATTCACACAAAAGAGAAAAATGTGGACCCAACCGAGGTAATGTTGTTGAACAAATGAATGAAATTATTAGTACGTTGTTTAGTTTTAGACAAAAGAAAAAAATGTATTTACCTAAATATTGTATTTGTCAATTGATGTTAAAATTTTGCTGTGATCTAAACTGTTCAAAATTATTTGAGTGGAAACATGCAAAAAAAATAAAGATAAAGATAAAAGAAACAATAAACTAGTGATTCAAAATTCAACAAATAAATTGTAATAGAATATTTAAAACGTATATAAATAAAATGTGGTTTAGAATTAGCATATGGTACCTTCCTAATTGACGTGTTTAGCAACAATGATGTCAATGAAGAACGTCAAGACATAGTTTTGATGCTGGAGTCCTCCATGAATATCCAAGTTCAATTCTATGAGCCTATTAGACATACTTTATTTAGGCGGACTTATATATGTAAGAAACCGAGAATAACGATGCCTACAAAAATAAAAATTTTCTCTGAAACCTATGTATCATGAATTCTCAAAATAAACCTTCTTCAGCACTAAATTGCATTTATTCTGATCACTTTTGATGCATGAATAAGAGATTAAAATCTATTTTTTTCTAGATAGCTATACCATTCCATTTTTATGCTTAGTACTCAAGTTTTGCATAAAAATCTACAAGTTCGCCATTTTATTATTAAAAAATGTTATGCAAAATGTTCTGAAATATTCAGCCCTATATTTCAACGTTGATCTATTAGTTATTAGTATTTAAACCTTTTAACTTAATATTTTTTTCATTGCTGTGTAAAAAAGAAAAAACATCCTACAAACTATCCAAATTACAAAGCCTTGCAAGTTACGATAACAATTCAATTTCTGCAAAGAAAAAGAACAGCAAATCCTACAAAACTAGACAAAATATAAAGCCCTGCAAGTTACAATACAGCTTGAACAGCAACAAAGAGAAAGAACAGAACATCCTTCAAAACTAGCCAAATAACAAATCTATGCAACTTACAAAAAGAGTCAATTTCTACAGATTAAAAAAAAATCCAAAAACAACTTATAAAAATGCTTGAACTGCTACAAAGAAAAAAGAACTTGTTCAAACAAACAAAAAAAAAAGACCCAACAAAACTAGCCAAATTACAAAGCCCTGCAGATTATAATACAGCTTGAACTGCAACAAAGAGAAAGAACAGAACATCTTTCAAAACTTGCCAAATAACAAATTCTTGCAACTTACAAAAAGATTCAATTTCTACAAATAAAACAAAAAACAAATCCTACAAAACAACTTATAGAAATGCTTGAACAACAAAGAAAAAAGAACTTGTACAAACAAACAAAAAGAAAAAAAAAGACCCAACAAAACTAGCCAAATTATAAAGACTTTCAACTTACAAGAAAACCTGAAGTGCTACAAGTTTTTTTCTTTCTTTTTAAGACCATAATAAAACGCAAGATGTACAGAGAGTACATCTCCTTCTATCTCTCTCAAACACATGATCTGATATGACACTGGGTCTGCTATGGAAGCTTTCGACTTCCTGTCAATTCAGTTTTTTTGGGGGGGAGCGATGTTTTTATTTTTATATTTATAATATTTAGCGCAATTTTGAATTTTTTCGACGAGCAACGTACAGACAGAAAGGGAGATAAATAATTATGTATTTTTGTACACATCTTTGTACTTGTTTTAATTTTAATTTTTTTTAACTTACGTCGAATATTCTATTGTGGTTTAAAATTAAGCAAACATGGTCCTTGAGATTCAATGTTTTAGGCTTTTTAAAATTTTTCTCCCTTTTATGAACATGTATTATTATTATAAACGTGTAACTTTTGTGTGGTGAGCCTTTTTATGAACATGCTAATATTATTATTATAATGATGATGATGATGATGATGATGATGATGGATACAAGTAAGTAAAGGTTTTTGTTCTCTAAGTACAGCTGCCTTCTGCTTAAGTTCAGTGCAAAATAATATTAAGAAGTTTGCATATCGAATATTTCTAATCTCAAAAAATTTTGGGTTTTTTTTGCGAATTTTTCTAACATGGGATCTCTAGAAGAGAATTGATCTCTTTCGGTGGCAATAGCTTGCAAGTTGCCCCTTCGTCAGAAGGAAAAAAACTGCAAACGACTTGTTTTTGAACATCGCCGACACTTCTTTTCCGAGAGATCTCAAGCGGTGCCCTTCAGGCTAGGGTGTCCCAGCTCCGAAAGGGTGGAAAAACCACCCCCGGGTCCGCCCCGACCCGCCCCACGGTCCCGTGCATCGATCAGTGGATTGAGAAGGAAAGCGGAAAGGGCCGCCGCGAGGGAGGAGGACTTCCAAAGCGCATGCACTGAACGTCATAGTGGGAAACGGCAACCTTTCGCCAGTCACATCCTGGGAGTCTTCGGGGATCTTTCGTTCATATGAACGTTTACCACTGGTGAGTCTACAAGACTAATTTAATTATAACTATTTTTCAATATAGGCTGAAAGTTATATTTTAATTTCACAATTTTACATGCCACACATTTGGAATACGCTGACACCAGTACATTTTTTCTGTTTAGTTTTAACGTCTTTTTCAATATATATAACAAAACTGGTAAAAAATATTTAAACCTTTATTTATTGTTAAATTGAAAATATTCAATCATATACAATATAAACAATAAGGCCAAGTTGGTTTATAATCGTA